CTCTAAAATCTCTATGCTTTACAAGCTACGCTCTATAGGAAATCTCATAACATCGGATATACAACTATATCGTAAAGATTTTTTTTTTCCCCATCTAAATATGAATTGTTTTGTCCTAAACGCTACGCCCACGCCTGTGAGTAAAATCACTTCGTAGTATTTTCGCTTGTGAATAATCGGTATTACAGTGTCTGGATGGCATAACAGCTTTAGATGTGTGTTGTCACATCTCGACGGAGAAATTAATTTTAATTACTCTACTTGAACGATGATCACGGTACTGAAAGTGCGCTCGACGCGAGAGAAAAATGCGAGAGATGCGGTGAAATTTAAGGAATCGGCTACGGAAAGCCTCTTCACGAGAGAGCAATCGTCGTATATCGATTTGCGAGCGTCAGAAGCGACAAAACGATGTATACATATATACATATATATATATATATACGCAGCGCGCGCCCATTCTTTATGCTTTATTTATTTCGGTCTGGCTTTATTTAATTCAGTTGTTTTTCCATGTCGGCTTTACCTAAGTAAAGAAGTCAATATTGTCGTGATCCTTCTTGGAGATGCGGCCGCGACAACTCGATTAACGGTGAGCGATACGCGCGCGCGGTAAATTAACAATTGTTTGTTTTTGTTTTTCCAACCGTCACAACGACTCAGGTGAGAAAAACGCGGTAGTCGCATACCTCGCTAGAGAATTATTTACACATTTCGTGACGACATATCGTACGTACACGACACGTCAGAGAGAGTTGCCGGCGCGTATTTCACAGGCTTCAAAAAGATTACGAAAATATTTTTTTGGAGAAAATCCAAAGAGAATTAAAGCTAAAGAGCAAAACAAATCGCGCACCACGTCATTTCTCGCTTCTGACGTCACAAACCATATACGGCGCTGCACGATCCCACGTCTTACAACGTAAACAGAGGCAGTTAATGCCTTTACACGCGTAAAGTTGCGCCGATAACGCCTCGATAATTAACCCTTTAAGCCCTATACAACAAGCCACTATAGCGGCTTCCCGCTGGGTGATCTTTCAGAACGAATCGCCACTCTAGTGGCTTCCCGCTGAGCGACGTTTTAGAATAGCCGCTATAGCGGCTCTCTCCTTCAACAATCTCGCATCGAAAACCAACTAACTTTGTAAACAACGTTGTTGCGACACGGGAATGTATTTTTACACGTTTTATTACTAATACGCCGTGTTAATTCCGCATTTCGCGGAATAGAACTGTTCGGACGAGAAAGGGTTAATCTTTTAACACTGAAAGATGCAACTTGACGCGCATTAGACATTAATGCGCGACCGCGCCTGTGCTATAAATTGTCTTTTAAAATCTCCTAACGTGAAATATTTACTTAATTTCACACGCCTAATTACTGGTCTTTTATAGTTTTTTTTTCTTTTTTTTCTTTTTTTTTTTACAGAATGGCAAATCTCATGTGTCTCTCTTCGCTATATCTCATACATATGTATATATAATTTTTTTTTTTTTTTTTTCTGTATCGTTCGCTAAATCGAGATTCGTGCTAACTTCTTCTTATTTGTCACAGGCAACGCAATATCTTCGCTTAAAAGTTAAACGGAACTAAACAAATGACGGAGCAGGAGCGTGTTTGACACACATAAAGTGTCTCTTCTCTACTTTTTTTTTCCTTCTTTTTTTTGTGTTTTAATCCGAGAGATGCCGAACGTATTAAACACGACAGTTTTACAGTCCAGTTTTTCGACGGTATTACGAAAAAACGTATGTGTTGCAAGGACGCGTTCTCTCTTTTTTTTTTTTGTTTTTGTTTTTTGTTTCGCATATACGCCACTATGTAATCGCGTTTTTCATCGCCTCTATTTCGTGATCGCTCTTGGAACAATTCTCTCTAATTTGAAAGCAACGAGATGTTGGCGTTTCATGGTTTTGGAAATTTATCGATGTCGATACAAGATCGCGCGCAAGTGAGTTATAGCGTGTGTGAGTTTTATACGTGTAAGTTCGAAATTTTTATACGACATAATTGTTAGAATATATGTTACCGATTAATCGTATAATTTAAAAAACGTACTAAGCGCCTCAACTTATACTTACTTTTACCTTGTGGCTAGCTGGTGTTCTGGCTCGTAGTAGTTTTTTTCGTTTCGCTCGGCGCTATTGTGTAACTATTCGTTGCGGAAGGTAACGTCTCTTCCTTGATAGATTGATTATCGTTTGAGCTTGGTTTTTTCTTGTTGTTCGACCGCGTATTGCTGCTCTCATTGCAATCAATGGTTGGTTTGCCATCAGCGGACATGGACGTTTCCTCGTTGCAATTGTTCGCGGCGTTGTTCCTCAAGTCCGTGGGATTTTCGTTATCCTGCGATTCACTCGGTTTCTTTATTATGTTTTCCTTAACGAGCACCTCTTTGAACGTCGCCAGAGTCTTGCGGAGAGTTATGCAGAAACCTCGAGACGCCGGGATGAGCGGAAATTCGGGCAATACTTTCTCGTCTGTGTGTAAAATAAAAAAATTAAAAAAATTATTAAATTTTTGAAATATGTTATAGAACACATTGTAAAAAATGTCATACCAATATTAGCAATTTGTTTGAACGTGGTTGGGGTGACCGGAGACAGCGGGTGTTGATTGTTATGCTGTTCGGATATTTCCATCCACAATTCTAGTCGCTTCAGTAATTTCTCGGCGTGCTTTTTGAAATGCGCAATAATGATGTCCTGAAACACAGATGGCGGATGCTGCAGCAATTTGGTTTGCGCTTGGACCAGCTTCAGCATCACCATCTCGTTGTACATTCTCGAATTCTCGCGTCCCTGCTGCGAACCTTTCTGCTTCTCAAACCCGGCCTCGTTGAAGTACGGCTCGCTCACAAGAATTAGACCTTGTATCGAAACGATCACTTGCAACAAAGTTGACGAGCTCGTCCACACTTCCGTGCCACGACCGGACCAGGTGCCTAGTAAACTCACACAAACCTTTCCGTCCTCGTAGAGATTGGGATTCAGTCGATCGCTGCAGTAAGAGATGTAATGGCAGAGCGGTGGCGCGGCCGGGTAATCGGCGGACAGTTGGAAGTCGAAAAGAAAGAGACCGTCTTCGTAGGGAGTCTTCTCAGGACCGCGGAACATCACGGAGTACAGATCTATACGATCTTCGAATCCCTTCACCCACACACCGGGCGGGAGCGAACTCTTGAGTAGTTTCAATTCTTTGGACACGGTCCTGAAGAAGTTGGTTGGGTCGGTTGGTTGGAACATGGTCAGCTTGAACTTGTGATTATCAGGTGCGGTTTCTTCTATGGAAAAGCCTTCCCCGTCGGCATAAACCAATGGCGGAATGTCGATAGAACTCTCGGACGGATCTATCGTATCTGGACGTTCTTTTTCGCTTTTCGGTTTCTTCTGCGGAGACGGAGAAGTCTTCTCCGCTTCCGACAATGACATCTTGCCCAGACCAAACCTCTTGGATACCTCGGCATGTGCCAATACGAGCTGCGCTTTTATTAGGTTACACAGCTTGACGCATACGAGCGTCGGTGCGACGTTACGAGAAGTGGTCAGACTCGTTGGAACTTTCCTTATCTTGTTCGTTTCTTCTTTTTCCGGCGAAAGTGTGTAGTTCATCGTGGACGAGCACTCTGGCGCGTTATTGACGTCTTCGCTCATAAGAAATTCCCCGCTGGACTCACTCGAGCCCGATTCCTTTTTCGAATTTTCTGCCGAGTACAATCCAGAGTCTTCAGGATTGGGGTTAGGTTGTATAAATAACTGATTAACGGGTTCTTCGCTGGTTTGTTTTGGAACGTTGTTTTCGATATTGGTGGTGTCATCTTGCTTCTCCGCCACGCTAATCGCGTACTGATCGTCGTTGTTGCTCGAGATGGTTACACCATCTTTGTCTATAGATTTCTCCGGACATTCGGATTTAGGTGTAAATAGTCTTGTCACTTGATCCGCCATACGTTGCGCGACATTCGCTCTCCCACGTTCCCTCACTCGCTCGAGAAGTCCCTGAAAGTGGCACTCGTGAAAGAACGACGTGCCCATTAGTTTGTCCATGTAACGACAATCCTTGTAAACCTCGAGTAGTTTTCTCATCACTTCCGTTGTCTGTAACGACGGATTCTGCGTGAAGATCTCTTCCAGTCGTGACATCGCAATCCTGGCCTTCTCGATGTGCGCTGCTAATTTGGGTTTTATGTTCTCCAATTCCGTTTGCTCGACGCCGTCGTTGTCAGCAATAAAGCAATCTTCCAACTCCGTCTCCCAAGATGAATCGGACGACACGTCATCCCACAGTTCTCCCTCGTCACTATCGTACTCGCTGACCTTGTACAGATCCTGTGGCCAGCACATGCTAATATGACCATCGACCCACCACACTTTTACTTGTCCCTCCGGATAATTATCCAATACTTGACCGGCGGTGCATTTGGCGTCCTCGCCTTCAAAATTCGCTATTCGAATCACCAATGTTCCCGGTCTGTATTGAAAATCTGGATGATCCTTCAAATCGTAAACACTCACTTCACGTTCCTCCAAGAAGATTGGTCTAGGAAAGACATGATGGATACAAATTTAAAAAGTCCAGCATCTTCTCTCATTTATATTGATTTTTTAATTTAAACGGCAAGCTTCTCTAAGATATAGAAGAAAGTAGAAAATTCCGAAAAAAAAAAAAACATTCGAGAAAGATTGGAAAAATATGTTTTACACACTTACATTGGATCTTGACTAGAAGTATACGTCTGGAACCACTTCACTTTAGCAGTACGGCCTTGATGATCGACATTTTGTACAACTCCATACATCCTAGATTCGTCCTTTTGGTCTATAACAAAGTCGCCTGGGAAAAATTCCTTATCGTCCAAGTGGTGAATTGGATACAGCTGTGTTGATGGTATACCTGAAAATGTAAATAACATTTAACACACATCACATTCTCTGTGCTAAATAATTTCTTATATACATATTATATATAAAAAAACAATATCTCATATAAGACAACAGAGTTTATGATAAAACAACCAGAAATACAATAGGAATTATATCAGTACCAAATTCTACTGAGCCATCTTGCCACACCACATTGGCTTTCGTATTAGTGGACAACGTTTCTACGACTATTTTAGTCCCGGGAATTAATGGGACAGGTGGTACTTTCTTCTTTGCTTTTCGTAACTTCTTTTTCTTCAGCATTCTCGTTACCAGTGCGGCGTACTTCTTTTTCTTTCCTACTGACGACATACTGGAAGAGCCGCTAGAAATCTAGAAAGAATGCGCAACTTGTTCTCGTTCTTAATTTTTCTTATCTTCTTAAACAAAAGAAAAACAAAAAAAGACAAAAATTACCGAAGCGCTGTCGCTTTGCGAACCCATGGTGTCTTCGGTGTCCCACTCGTCTGAGCTTTCAGCGTGTTTTGTTTTGGTCTTCGGCGGTTCCAACAAACTTGCGGCAACAAGATTGCTCATTACATTTTTCAAATAAATACTGTCACTATCGTCTTCGTCTGCCGATTGTTGATCTGATGTTTTGTCGGTTTTTTGCTCCTTCTTCTTGTCATCTGGCAACTTTGTTACCGTGATATTCGGACGCGTCTTTTTTGGACTTTGCTTAGGAACTCGGAAAATATCTCTCTGTTGTTTTCGCCACTGCTCGCGAGTAATAACGTTCTCGTTACCCTTGATGATGTAGAAATTACGATCGCCGACTTGAACGGTCGAAGGTTCGAATATGTTCAGCAGTTTCAGCTTTTTCAAATCCTCACCCTCCACCACGAATTTCGGTTGCGCCTGATCAGACCAAGCACCGTCCTTCGAGTAGGCACGGCACTGCCAATGTACGCCTACCCAATCGGTTTCTACTTTCTCCACGTTCACTTTGATCATCTTCTGCGGTTTAGCTTTTCTCTTTGCTTTCATCTCCTTTGTGCACTGAATCCATTCGGCTTCTTCCAAACAATGAACCGGTCCCCACAGACTTTGACCGGGATAGAATTCCGTTGAGTGAGGAAAATCATTATCCTGAAAAGACATTCACATCACAAAATTTCTCACAATTCTGTGACAGGTTACAATTCAATCTTACATTGTCTCGCGTCTCTTCCAATTGTCCCAGTATACAAGAATCCATTTCATTTATCACACAATGAGACCCATCTGGTGTGACCAGCCACAGTTTGAAATGTGTCATTCTGATATCACCAACCCATGAGTCCATGCAAACTGCCATATCTGTTGCAAATTCCTACAAATGATACGATTGCTTGTTTCAGTTTACAAATAAAAACAAAAACAAATCACACATCTGTAATTTATATATTAACACACTTGCAAAGGAATTAGGTCTTCACTCTTGATATCTGTGAGAATCTGTTTGGTACCAATGACTTGCACACACGCAGTCAGTTCCACATCTCTGCAATAGCCTCTTTGTGTGTCCTTTCCCTTGATCATTCTGCGTACCACATCTCCAGGCATGAGTGTCCTGTCGGCCAAATGAACCTGGAAGTATCAATCGAGATCATGCTGACAAAATCCATATAGAAGAGAACAAAGATGTGTCGTCTCTCTCATGCTTTTACAAGTACAAAAGAACACAAATAATATTGAACAACATAAGCATATCAGGAAGTACCGAGATGGCGGATACTAGGTCACGAGCAATTCGTCAATTCTGAAATAACAATCTCGATACCTTCTTGCAGTTGACCCTCTCCTCGACGCCGGACGGATGCCAGATCATGCGGATTTCGCCCTTTTTGCGCTTCGGCTGGCTCTCCCCGCTGTCGGAGCTCTCGTCAAACATGTCGTGGTCGTCGTTCTCCATGACAATGCCGAAGACGACATTGCCCCGCTTATCCACCCGATAAACGACATCCTCGTAGAAATATTGGTTCTCCGGCGCAACATTCGCCTCGGCAGCCATCTTTCCACCCCTGCTTCGTGGATCGCGCTGCCCCTAGCCTGTCCTAGCCTAGCTCTCGCTCTCGGTGCGACCGAGAACCCGCTCCAGCTTCTTCCGTAGTTCTCGATTCGGTTCTGCTACACGACTGAGCGAGCGAGTCGAGCGACGCCGAGCACCGCCGAGACGAGCCGACGATGACAACGTTGACGACAACGGACGGAAGGTTACGGCACCGCGCAATGCGCACACACGTCCCACTCTGGCACTCTCTTGCACTTTCTAAATTTGAATTGAAAAATACAAAAGGAGAAAAGGTGAAGTTTTACATCTCGCGCGTATCGGTGATGATGATTTTTAATTAACTCTGTTGCGCGCGAAGAGCTTGCGCGTGATCTTCGAAAATACGAAATTTAAAAGAAATTCAAGCTGTTCCGCGACACATATGTTCGTTGATCAATTCCATTTAAACCAAAACGTATACACGCGAGAAAAGGAAGAGGACGGACGGGGAAAAAAACATCAAGTTCAGAAAGTGCATCTACGGGACTCACACGATTCGCGATCATTTGCAGCCACAAATAACGAACCGATTCGTGAATTCTCCACGACGCGACGGTTACGCTTCCCGTTCAAACCCAACCCCCGACGCGATCCCGACGTCCCCGACGTCAATCGACGTCACCCCGCGGCCGCCAGTGGACACTCGCGGATAGTCTATCGATTTGCGATTCGATCGATTATTGCTCGCGCTAGTATCGCATACTATCTCCCTCTCACTGGTGCTACCTAGAATTTGACGCAACACTCGGATGCGGTAGCGCGTGTGTGCGTATTTGCAAGTAAAAAATAAATGAGATAAAATAAACTTCAATTTGTTTTTACTACTTTTTTTTTTTTTTCAATTAAAAAACGTTGTCTCTCTTAACAAATATATGCATAGACTAGAACAAAACTACGATTTTTTGTAATTTTGTGTTGGTTTATTTTTAGAAGGGCAGTCCTATCACACGAAATCAAAAGATCTTAACAACCATAAGAAAAATACACAAAGGTAAGAATAAATTGTATTTTTCTCTTCTCTATAAATTTGATAAAGCTATATAATAAACATCCAACAGATATATATTTGATATTTGAAGTAACTTCTTTTTTATACTGCAAAATGTGTACGCTGAAATCCTTGTACCAGACTCAGCAATATTTGTTGAACCTCTGTTTCGTTCCGATGATAAAAAATGTAAGCGTCAAACTTTTTCGCCACGTTGCAATTTGTTTCCCTAAAACCCACACGTGTGTGATGAAAGAGAGAGAGAGAGAGAATGTGTTTATATTTTTATAGAATTGTATATATTTGTTGTTTTGATGAAATTTACCCTGCGATAAATGCGAAGTAATCCGGAATGTTGTTGGTACGGCCGCACGATGAGATTTCCATGTAGCTTTGCTTGAATATTACCTGTAAGAAATATCGCAATTGTTTAATGCATACGTACTTCCGCGTGTTACAATTATATTTTGTCTCTTTCTCTTGAATTACATTTTAAACTTAAATTATGTAATTTATACAGACAATATCCTGATTAAAATTTGAATCATCAATGTGTCATCGAGAACAGCTTACCTGATTGTCCGTCTCTCGAGTTACTTTAATTCCTATTTCTAGACATTCAAATCTCACAGGTACTTGTTTCACTTCGTCCGATTTCAATAAACGCCACATTGCCTTTTCGATCTGCTTAACGTTGCCTTCCGCACCAACGTGGACCGAGCCGCAATACTTGACAGAAAATCCACCGGTCGATGGTTTGTTCGTTAATCTAGAGATATGGTCTTCTTTTTTAGTGGCTTCCACTTGGTCTAATTGCGACAACAAACACTTCACGTTCTCGACACCTGAACTTTTGACAAGGTCCGCAATCGGTGGATAGAGTTCGCGAGAGTTTTTGCTACGATGCTAAAAAAACGCATGTATTAGTACGCATCAACATAATTTATATGATAATTACGTTGTTATATTTCTCTTTAAAAGAGAACGTTCTTCTTTGCAAGACATATGCACCTTGACGATGTGTAGCATCACTGGTTGTCCGCTCGCCTTCTTCATAATTTTACTTAGCTTTCCCTTACTGCTCCCGTTGATGACATTCCCGTTTATCTCATCGAGTACATCTCCGATCTCGACTTTATTCTGATTCGCAGCATGTAAACAATATCAAATTTAAGACCTCTTTAAATTTCCAGAGCTAAGCTAAGATATTGAGAGAGACTTTTCTTACGTCTTCAGCGGCCACCGATCTCTCGTTGACGTTTACGATTAGTGCCTTTTCGTTTGTGAAACTGCGAACACACACACAATATCGAATAATAAGATTCATCAGTTCTTCTTGTTTCGAAGGTAGAGTAAGACACTCACCACACAGAGATGCCTAAGTTCTTGCAAGGCACCAGTTCTAAAGCCACGCACCTGGGCATTTGCCAGGTGTCGTCCAGGAAAGCTGCGTTTCTCAAATTCAGCTTGAAGTTGAACTTGCCGCACTGCAACAGCACGGACAACAGTATCTCTCGCAGAATGTCATCTCCCAAGATGCTCTTCAATTCGTAAAACTCGGCAGTTAGAGTTGGCATTCTGGCCTATAATGTTTACACGTAACACACAATTGTCAGTTTCTACAGATAATCAAGAAATAATGTAGATATCACATTGAGACAACAAGATGGATGTGACACCAATGTCTCACCAATAATTCGACCGGCATGTGAAGGCATTTTCGTACCAGACATATTCTTATCAAAAGACGAAGTCGTCCGATGGATGTCTGTACTTTTGGATTTTCCTTTACCTGCTCAACCACCAATGACAACGTGTTATAAGAACTAAAAAAAAACATCATATTATAAACAAACATTTGTGGACAATCGTGAAGTGGATATCAAGATGGTGTTGTTTTTATTGGAAAAATTGAGAGAAGCTCTCGGCTTGCCTGTAATTTCTTGCAACTATGTGTTCCAACCAGTTCCATGCGCAAGCTATCTTTAGGTATCCAACGTTATTATCAAAATAAGGCAATAAACCCTTTTGGAAGCAATTTTCTAAGCTCTTGCAAAAGTGATGTAGGTTCTCGTTTTCATCAGTGATCTGTTTAGCGTGTTCCATCAACTTTCGAGTCCATCCTGGAAAAACACACAAGAAAACTGACTATGTATAATCTATATTTTCATCAGAGAGATAATAATTTGCTCAATATATCAACGACAAAAGTAATTAAACAATATTGACAAAAAAATCTATACTCTCATATAAATCTGTTGATAACTACATGTAGAAAATACAAGGATTCTCAACAAATAATAATAACTCATACAAAACATTGATGTGATAGTTTGAAAAAACTCTTTTATTTAGAAAAAATACAAAAAAACACTTGTATCTTATTAAGATCTTAAATTTAGTTAATTGGACTAATATTATTTGTGTGTGTGTGTGTTATTATTTCTGTGTGATATCAGACATTTTTAAAATAAATATCTTTGACCTGTATATCTTTAAAAAAACATGTAGATTCTCAGAGAAGTTAGATACCGATATTATCCATCGACAATTTTTCTAAAACTGCAAGATAAGACAGATGTAAATATACGATGATAACGGAGGAAAAAGATATATATAAGAGAGTCAGCGCATCACACGCGTCTAACCTGTTCAAATTACCTTTCAGCTCTTTGATGAGAGGATCCGAGACCGACATGGCACATTCTCCGGCAATATATTGCCGTTAAATCGTCCGCGATATCTTCATGACGTGCGTCTTGTCGTAAACTCGGTTTGTCGTCGCCGCAACTCAACGTGTGTCAGTCGCACATACCTCGTCAACGAAAACACCTGCATCAGGTGATCAAAATGCGACAGCAGTGAAGCCAGCATGTGCTGGTGTGGAATCGCGCTCGTGTGGAAAATCGAACGTCGCGTGATTGGCCTAAACGCGCGAGCGCGCGCGCGCGCGCGTGTGTGTGTGTGTATATATTCGCGCAACACAGCTGAAGCTTCTTCTTACGTCTGTGTTAAAGAGAATTATTACTCTAATTGAATAATATATTATGCGACGTACCGCGAACCGTATCAAACTTTGTTTTTATTCTCAAGTTCGCGTTTTACGCGCTGTTACACACACGGCAATGAATTTTCTCAACATTCTGTAATTACATGTAAATTAATTGTCGATTTCGTATCGCTAATCGAGGCATATTTGTACGAACAAAATAGTGTCGCGCGAGTGATAACGTTCCCGTTCCGTTTGTTTTTTTTTTTTTTTTTTTTTTTTTATG